CCAGGAGCGAGGCTGGGATCGGGATTGGGGCCCGGCGCAGGAACGGGCAGTGCTGCAGCAGCCGGGACATCGCGGGGGTGCTGCGGAGAGGGGGGGCGTGAGGGACCCAGGCGTCAGCCCCACCGAGAACTCAGATGGCCGGGCTCCCCGCCCCGCCCCGGGTATCACGAGCGCACCAGCTGCAGTGGGTTGATAAGGGCAGTGCGGCCACACCCCGGGGGCAGGGAGCTCGATGCCCGGAGTCTGCGAGAGGGAAACTAAGTCACAGACAACGCTGGAGAGAACCCAGGCGTGCGGGGCCTCAGCCCCCCTCTACTTCCCATCAGACCCCACTCCCCTCTTAGCGAACCTAGGCGTCCGGGCTCCTCATCCCCGGCTTGCTTACTTTTAACTAGTTTCCCTAGGGCTGGGAAAGAACCCAGGCGTCTGGGCTCCCAGTTCCCCCCCAGCCCCCGAGAACTCAGGGTCCAGGTTCCCAGCTCCCCCCCACTCCCCCCCCAGGGGACCCAGGCTCCGGGCTCCCAGGCCCCACATTCCCGTAGGACCCAGGCGTCCGGGACCCCCGTACCTATTGCCCTGCACTGAGGACGAACAACCAGCACTGAGCCCCCTTCACCTCGCACGACTGGGCCCCCAGGGTCCGGGGAGCAGAGATAAGGACCATCTCCACCCCTTGCCCCTCCCACCCAGGCCCGGATGCCTGGGTTCCCTCCCTGAGGGCCCAGATAAGGCAGCCACCCCCACCCCCAGGGGAGCCTGGGGACAGGGAGAGAACCTAGGCGTCCGGACACCGCCCACCAGTCTCCTTCCACAGCCGGGAAAGACTCCCTCTGCCCTCAGAGGACCCAGGCGTCCGGGCCCCAGCCTCTACTCCTCGCAGCCGCCAGAGAACCCAGGAGTCCGGATCGCCTGCCCCTGCTCAACCCATCGGACCCCGTTGTCCTCCCGGAGAACACAAGCGTCCGGGCCCAGCCCCGCGCCTCCGCCAGGAGGCAGCAGAGCTAGGCCCGAGGTCACCCCGCCCACAGTCGGGGGCGGGGCCTTCCCGGGCTTCGCGGGGGCCATGTTCACAAGGGGGTCCCGGCGCCGTCGCTCTACGCGCTCTGTGAGTCTCTCGGATGCCTGGGTTGCGCGGGGGGGCGTTGGGAGCGCGGTCGCCTGGGTTCTCTGCCGCTTCTGGGAGGGGGGTGAGGCTGCTTAGACCCTGACTCAGTTTCCCCGGCCCGGGCTGGCTCGCGGCCCCCTACCCACATGGGCAAGGGGGGAGTCTCCTGCTCCGTCTCGGCCCTCGCTGCTCCTGCCCCCAACCCATCTGAGGCAGGATTCACACTGCAAAGCATGACGGGAGCTGTGAGGTCGCTGGGAGGGTTGGGTAGTGTGGGGGGCCCTCAGCGATGCTGAGGGGTCTTCCCCCTGCCAGCCACCCTCACGCTGTGGTTTAGGGAATGTCCCTGGACGTCTGGGTCCCATCCTGTGCCCCCCTGCCTGTATATCCCAGGATGCCGTGGGATGCCAGCCTCCCAACCCAAAATCCCCTCGGACATCATGGGAACATTTTTACTTGCGGTTCCCCCCCCCAACCTGTTTCCTACCCACAATCTCTCTGGGCATTATCAGGGGGAGCACATTTTTACCCACAATTGCTTGGAGTCTTCTCCCCTTTGGTCTCTTTCCTACCCGCAATCCTATATGGCCTTGCAGTGGGCTGCCATTTTACCCAGAATCCCCTTTGTTACACCCCCCTCACACCCTCTTGATCCATTGTGTTCCACAACCACCTGGGGGAAGGTGGTCCTCAGCACTTACCCATAGTCCTCTGAGGCATGATGTCCCGGCAGCTCCCTGATGCAGATGACCCCGACCGGGGGCAGCCATGTGGGACCTGTGGGGACCAGTGCCCTGGCTTTCTGGTGCATGGATGGAGGTGAGTACATGCCTATGACCTCTCTGTTTGTGTGGTGTGTCCAGCAGTCCTGGGCACCCTATATGGGAGCGAAACCAGGACACCTGGGTTCCATGTCTTTGCATGTGTGTCCCAGATCCTGGGCTCTTTGTGTGTGTGCATGCGTTTGCGACTGTCTCGGACACCTGGGTTTCCTGTCTCCGTGAGTGTCCTGGATGCCTCAGTTCCATGCTTATGTGTGTTTGTGTGACCCAGATACCTGGTGTTGTGTGTGTGATGCTTAGGTTCCATGTGGTGTCCTGTGGTGTGTCTGTGAGATCTCAACAGCTGGGTCCTAGGTGTGTGTGTGTCCATGACACAGACACCTGGGTCCCGTGTCCCTGCAGGAAGAGCTGCCGGCACTGTGGGTGCGGGCGTGAGGAGCATGCAGTGCGGGCATTGCCTCCTGCCTTGGCTCAGGCACTCGGCCGCCTCATCTCTGACTTCCAGCGCCTCTCACTGCCTGATGACGATTCTGGCTGCGCCTCTGAGGAGTACACCTGGGTGCCACCAGGGCTTAAGCCCGAGCAGGTCAGCCCCACCCACCGGGCAGCAGGACACACCCATCAGTAGAAGGTCCCACCCACCTGGGACTGGCTCCACCCATGGGGTAGGCTGTACCTACCTAGGGATGGCTCTGCCCACTGAGGAATAGGCCACATCTTTAGGAAGGAGGCTCTGCCTGCCTGGGGCTGGCTCTGCACTCTGCCCAGCTGGGACTACCTATGCTTATCAGGCAGGCCAGGCTTACAAGGAGGAGGCCCCACCTACTAAAGAGGAGGTTCCACTCACCTGGAAGCCATCCCTGTCCATCAGACAGCAGGCCCCACATACTTGAGGTTGGCTCCACCCATTGGGAAGAGGTCCCGCTTACTTTGGACTGGCTCCACCCACCAGAGAGCAGGCCCCACCTACCTGGGACTGGCCAGCCCGTAGATCTGGCCCTCCAGCTACGGGCCCCACCCCCTTCTCACTTCTGGCTCCGCCTGCCCCCCCAGGTTTACCAGTTCTTCAGCTGCCTGCCTGAGGACAAGGTACCCTATATCAACAGCGCTGGGGAGCGGTACCGAGTCCGCCAGCTCCTGCACCAGCTGCCCCCCCATGACTGCGAGGTGAGAGGGCAGAGCCTGGGGAGGTGGGACCAGGAATCAGACCACTCCCCATCAGTATCCTGGACTTCCTGTCTCAAACTGGCCCATGCAGTGTTATATTTAGCTGTTCCCTGGCCCCCTGCCCCAGAGCCCTCCTGTCATGGGCATTATGCTTGGTCATTGCACCCCAGAGTGGGGCACATCTCTGAGGCATTATACTCTGCTGTTCTCCAGCCCCTCCTCCCCAGACCTAGCTGCTGCTCTGCCTTCCTCCATGGGCTTTATACTTGGCTGGCCTACCCTAGAGCTAGCTGCATCTGTGTGGTGATATATTCAGCTGTTGCTCCCCAGAACTGGCTGCATCGCAGCCCTCCCCATAGGCTTTATACTCAGCTGTTTCATCCCAGAGCTGGCTGCATCTGTGCATTGTTACACTGGGCTGTCACCCCAGAGTTGGCCGCATCTCTGTGCACTGTTATAATGGGCCATCGCTTGGTCAACTCAGAGCTGGCTGCATCTGTATGAGGCGTTGTTGCCCAGATGCTCCAGAGCTGGCTGCATCTCTGTATATTGTTATACTGGGCCATTGCCTGGGCACTCTCCCCCAGACCTGGTTGCATTAATGACCCCCATCCACCACCCCTCCGGCCCACAGGCCCAGTACTGCACCTCGCTGAAAGAGGAGGAGAAGAAGGCACTGAAGCTGTTTGCACAGCAGCGGAAGCGGGAGAACCTGGGCTGCGGCATTGCCCGCATCTTCCCAGTCACCACTACCGGGGCCACCTGCGAGCAGGTAATGGGGGGTGGGGTGGGTATCAGGTTCTGCAGGGTATTGTGGGAGCAGCGGGTGCAGCTAGGTCTGGAGTTGGAGCTGCTGAGTATAATAGAGGGCTCCTGAATGCCTGGGTTCCCTCCGTGGGAGGGAAGTGGGGGCTGGAGGATGAGAGCAGGGCCGCATTGGGAGCCCAGATGCCTGGGCAGGGAGTTGGGGCGGGGGGGTTGGGTTGGGAAGCCTGGACATCTGGGTTCTCTGGATAGGGAATTGGGGGCTGGGGTTCTGGTTGGGAGCCTGGACACCTGGGTTTTGTGGGTGGGAAGTTCTGCCCCCCGTGGGGGGCAGACATGAGGGTCTCCCTGACAGCTCTCCCCCTCCTCCCCCACCGCAGTGTGGGAAGCAGGTGCGGGGCGGGGACGTAGGGGTGGTGGCCTCCCGGGCGGGCCTTGGGGCCTGCTGGCACCCCCAGTGCTTCCAGTGTGCTGCCTGTTGTGAGCTGCTGGTCGACCTCATCTACTTCTACCAGGATGGGCAGGTCTACTGCGGGCGGCACCATGCTGAGCGCCTGCACCCTCGCTGCCAGGCCTGTGATGAGGTGGGCAGGGCCTTGGGAGAGGAGGTGGGGCCACAGGGAAGGGGAGAGGGGCTATGAAGAAGTGGGGTTGTTGGCCAGGATGGCAGGGGGTGTGGCTCTGGGACATGGGGAGGGTGGGGCTCTGAGGGTGTGGATGGAGGCAAAGGGGGCAGAGCTATGGGGAAGGGGAGGCTCTGAGACCATGGAGGGGGCAGTGGGCAGTGCCCCTCTTAACTCCCATCATGCCCTTTCAGCTGATCTTTGCAGGCACCTGCACAGCAGCCGAGGGGGGGCACTGGCACAAGGGGCACTTCTGCTGCGTGGAGTGTGAGGCAGCGCTGGGTGGGTGCCACTATGTCATGCGCCAGGGCCGTCCCCACTGTGCCTCCTGCTACCAGGCCTTATACGCCGAGTACTGTGACACCTGCGGCAACCACATCGGTACGGGCTGGGGGATGGACCCAGGTGTCTTGGTGAGGGTGATAGGTGGGCGAGGAGTCTGGGGAACCTAAGTGTCCAGAGAGATGGGTAAGGGGAACACAGGAATCCAGAGACCTGGGTTTCCTGGGCTACTGTGTCCCCCTTACCCACCTCCCCAGACACCTGAGTTCCTTGGGGAGGTGGGTAATGGGGACCCAGGAATCCACAGGGTAGGAGGATAGCGGAGGGCCTCAGCCTCAGCCTCCTACCCAGTAGGAGGGTAGCAGAGGGCCTCAGCTGCCCTCACAACCCCTGCCATCTGCTCCCCCTAGGGCTGGAGCAGGGGCAGATGGCCTTCGAGGGTCAGCACTGGCACGCGACACCCAACTGCTTCTGCTGCGCCTGCTGCCACCGGCCCCTGCTGGGACTGCCCTTCCTACCCCGTGGGGGGCAGATCTACTGCTCTCCTGCCTGTGCCCGGGGCGGAGCCACCTCCCCTGGGCCCCGCCTGGGGTGCCGCAGCTGGAGTGGTGGGGCTGAGACCCCTGACACTGGCACCAGCAGCATCCCTGCCAGCCAGCAGGACCCAGGTAGACTGGGGAGATGGGTAAGGGGAACCAGGTGTCCTGGGTGGTGGATATGGAGGATCCAGGGAGCTGGGGAACCCAGATGTCCAGGAACATGGTGATGAGAGACCTAGGAGTCAGGGGAGGTGGGTAACAGGATCCCAGGGGTGCAGGAAAATGGGCATGGAGCCTGAGACACTAGGTGGGGGTGTGCAGACACACAGCGAAGGACCTCTGGGGGAAGGGGCAGTAAGGTCCCCTTCCCTCTCTCTAACCCCCACTTTCCCCACAGGCCCCGGATGCCCCTTCCGGCGGGGGGTGCTGCACCGCCACTCCATGCCCGAGCTGGGCTCAGGGGTTGCCCACCCCCCTTCTGCCCTCCTTTGCCAGCCCTCAGCAGGGGTGGGGAGCAAGACAGAGGGCTCCTTCTGGCCCCAGCAGCAGAGGAGGAGTGCTCGGGTCAACTCTGACAACACCCTGCACTTGCGGGGGGACGCAGGACAGAGCTCCCCCACTCCCCTGCCACCAGGCCAAGGGGGGTCCCTGGGAGCTTTGGTGCCCCCTTGGGCCTTGTTCTCCTCCTCATCATCATCTTCCTCCGAGGAAGAGGAAGGCTACTTCATGGGTGAGCCCATCCCCCTTCCCCCCCAGCTGCAGTCTCACCCTCATGGCACCCTACCCCCTCCCCATGCTAAGGGGCACCAGGGAAGGAACAAGGGCTGCATTGTGGCCTGAGCCTGAACCTGCCCTTGCTGGTGCACTTTGACCCTGGAGGAACCCAAGCGTCTGGGGAGGCAGAAAAGGGTGACCTAGGAGTCTAGGGAAGCCAGCTCCCTTGGGAAATGGGCAAGGAGGTCCCAGGAGTCTGGGGAACCCAGGAGTCCAGGGTTGTGGGCATAGGGGTCCCAGAAATCCCCCCCACCCATGCACTTTGACCTTTGATCTTCCTGGGGTGGGGCAGCAGCCTCTGACCTGCAGGTGGCCATCTCTGAGGCGTTTGGCACTATGGCCTTGTCCCAAAGACATCTGTCCTCATGGTGGTGACCTCTGACTTTCTGGCATGGGGGCAACATGAGCAGCCTCTGAAGTTCGGTGACATGATCATTGGGCTTGGTGTCTTCTGACCTTCCCAAGTCATGCACTTTGCTGAGGTAGTTGGTTTTGCTGTTCACTTTGGTTCACTCCACCACCTGCAACCTTTGACCTGGAATCCTTCCGTGACCTGTGGCCTTGAACTTTGACATCTGACTTCCACTTGTGACCCTTGCACCATGACCTAAGCTCAGCCATGGTGATGTGCACCCCATAACCTTTGATCTTTCCACTGTGGCCACCACTGGGCATCCCAGGGAGGGTGCTGACCTGTGTCTTTTGCCTGCTATGGCTGTGGGTGCTTCAAGGACCTCTCTCAGGGACCCATGTGCATTGACCACTTTGACCTTTCGACTCTGATGGCCTTTTTCTAATGACCTTTGAATGGTGGTGTGGTGGTTGACCTTCCTACTCTGACATTCTCCATGTGGCTTTTGGAACATCCTCTCCACAGGTGAACCTTTGGCCTTTCAGCTTGGGTTGGAAGGCCTTCTCCTCCATGATCTCAGCCTCTTAGGCCCTTGGCTAATCTCTTAAGGTGACCTTTGAACTCCCAACTCCCAAACTTTGGGCTGTGGTGAAGTCAGCTGGGTTTAGGCTCCTCCCCCTTTAAAATTAGTCTTCAAGCATTAATTTAAAATACAAATGACCTTTCTAATAAAAGCAATGCTAATGAAAGATGGCAAGACATACAAGTGTCCAGGGAGGTGGGTTAGGTGGGCCCAGGTATCTGGAAATGTGGGTAAGGGGGACCCAGGAGTTTGGAGGACCCAGCTATCCAGGGAGGTGGGTGTGGGTACATAGGAGTCCAGGGGACCCAGGCATCCAAGGAAGGTGGAAAAAGGTCACATCCAGGTGTCTGGGGCAGTGTGCTCAGTATAATGAACAACAGCCATTCCAGCTGCATCACCCCAGAGCTGGGTGCATCTTAGAGGTGACTTCAATTTCCTTGTCACCATCTCATACCAGGGCACAGCACTGGACAAACTGGTCTCACAGCAGCTTCCCCCCACCCTGGCCACACTCTGGAGAGGGTGAGGGGCCCCACCCACACCAGCCTGCTTCATCCAACCCATGTGGGTTTGTCCTACCTTAACCTTCCTAGGGAAGTGGTCCTCGTTCCTACCTTGAGTAAATTCAAAAAGAGGTTGAATGAACCACCTGTCAGGTTGTGATCTCAGCATGTGCTCCAACCAGTGGTGGGGAGTTAGACTAGATGATCTATTCAGGTCCCTTCTGACCCCTAACTAGTATGAAACTGAAACCCAGGGCACAAGGGCAGATGCTAGCAATGGAGGAAGACAGCGGGGGGCAGGGAACAACCCCTAGAGCTTTGTTTGGGGGAGGAAAGAAGAAAGAAAACCCTCCAATTTCCCAGAAGTTGAGAAATGATGGAAGAAAAACCTGAAATCTTCCCCCACACGCATTTTACAGGGAAATGTAGGATGAATTAATGAAGAGTGAAAGGGGGATTTATTCAGGGGAGTCTGTCCTGATTTTTATAAAGGGAAAAATGAATGTTTTTGTGGGAAATGCTCCAGTAGTCATTGGAGGAAAAAAAAATTAGGGGGAAGAAATGGTGTGGGGGATTTAAAAAAAAAAAAAAATGCCTTTTGCAAGGCAGGGTATCCATTTTTTGGGTGGGGAA